GCTGAGCCCTGACAACCCTGATCCACTTTCTCCACCAGCACAGGAGGGAGTTGGTTCCCCCGCGCGTTCAGGGCACTCCCTTTTCCAATGTCCTTGCTTTTTGCAAAATGCACACTGATTTTTCCCAAGCCGGTTGGACTCCTTTTCTCCCGCAAGGCTTTTCTTTGCCATGGTTGTCTCTCCGGCCCCTTGGGCCTTTTTCCTCGCTTATAGCCAGGAGGACCTTTGCCATCCGGGTGTTTAAACCTGCTGTCGGGTCCTCCCGATTGTTAAAAACCTTCTGGGCCACCTCAACCAACTCAGAGATTGATTTCCCCTTAAAGCCCTCTAACTTCTGTAATTTTTTTTAATATCTTGGGCTGACTGGGAAACAAATGCAACATTGACAGCCCTCCGATTTTCCAGGGCATCAGGGTTAGGCCCCTAGACTGTCTCTGTCACAATAAAGTCTGGCGACACCGATCGATTGAGAGCCTCCTTTCCCCTGTCACTATAGGGGTTCTAGTCGGGTCGCCTGGAGGGAAACACAGCCTCTAATCTGTCTTGGTCAGAGTTCCAGTCGGGTCGCCTGGAGGGAAACACAGCCTCTAATCTGTCTTGGTCAGATGTAGGCTGTCTATCCGGACCCAGAACAAGTTTCCTCCCTTCCGCCCTGACTCTCTCTCTCTCTGTCTCCATACGGTGTCCCTTGCCTAGTGTGAGGAGGGGAGAATGGAGCCGGGTCCTGGACTGGTGTTTCCGGACAAAAGGAAACTGGCTTTAGAGGAGGCAGGGGTTCTGGATCAGGGTATTTAGCCACCGTGGGACCAGTGGGTGGAGGAGCATACGGGGGAGGCCTGACCCTGGAGAGTGCCTCCTCACTTGGACCTTGGAGAACAGGGGGAGTTTTGCCCTTATGGGCCGAAGTCAAGAGGACTGTCTGTCTCTGTCCCAATTTCTTTTCCTTATTCTGACAACTCTTTAACTACCTTGGTTTTAGAAATCTTTATTAGCTAAGTGGGCTGGTTCCCCTTTAATAGTGAGCAAAAGACTCTGAGAAAAATCTCGCAGCTGCAAGAGACTTTTGCAGACCATCATGGGTCCAGCCCAAACGTTCAGCCAAGCGTATCAACAGAAAAGCAGAATAAATCAAAGTAGCTATCACTTCACACAGACCAGTTACTGAGCAGCCAAGGCAGACAAACACCCATACTTACATTCTCTTAGTAGACTAGCCCAGGTTGGAGCTGTATCCAGTCCCCCTTCTCGGTAGTAAATTGGCTAGTCCCACACAAACAAATAGCTGTTTACTCATAATTCCTCAATCGAATCACTTTTTTTTCTTTCAATATGCAATTGAGAACAGTGGGTTTACTTTGTCCCAACCCCATGATGATTGGTGGCCAGAGACAGACAAGGAAGGGGTTGACCTGTTTTCACAGATCCTCATGCAGATACCCACCTGGCCGCGTTCCTTGGGAGCTTAGATTGGTCTTAGCAAAGGTGCACCCGTATAAACCCTGGGCCTGGTCACCTTCACATGGGGGTGAGTCACCGTTATGCCATATGATGAATAGTGGAACCGCAGGTTGGAGCCCACTTGGACTCCGTAACCAAAGTCGGACTCCGACACACAAAGGAGAGGAGAGGGCAGGCCCCCTCCCTCCACACTCACACACTTTCACAAGACATTCACTCAGAGTTTAAACAATCCACCCAATTCCTAACTAAGTCCCAATTCCTGAGGGAGCTCTATAGTTTCCCAGGAGGTGATCAAGCTCCCCTTCCACTCACTTGGAGTGGGCCTGACTGATAGGGTGTCGATGAAGATGACTGACCCTAACCCATTTTGACAAAGACAAAGACAACAAAGACAAAACAAATCAGACAAATGCTACCTAAGGTTTGCCTGGAACCTGCAGTTCGCTCCTTGAAGTCCTGAAAATTTTTCAAAAAACATTGCAGCAGGGTGTACACAAAAGCAGACAACTTTTTGACAATAAACACCAAGACAAACAAATACCGGACAGACAAACCCAGTGCAGCCTACAGCCACACGAACCAGGGACCCTGGCCACCGTCATGGCCACGGGTCAGGACCAGGAGTACCACTGCGTCCAGCCCTCCATATAGGTCCTTCCGTGGGATGTCCCAATTCCCGTTTAACGACCGGTCTCTTACCTCTCTCGAGAGTCCAGGTGGCTCGGATTCCAAATTGAAAGTTTTTGGTTGGACTGGAGGCCTCCTTGGTATCATTCTCCGGTGCAGCCTAAAGCCGCACGAACCAGGGACCCCGGCCACCGTCGTGGCCGCGGGTCAGGACCAGGAGTACCGCTGCGTCCAGCCCTCCGAATAGGTCCTTCCATGGGATGTCCCAATTCCAGATTAACGATCGGTCTTCCTTACCTCTCTCGAGAGTCCAGGTGGCTCGGTTTCCGAATCAAAAGTTTTGGGTGGAGTCTACTCCACTTCCCTGGGACCCGGGACAGAGACTGTAGGCCTCCTTGGTAGTCATTCCCCACAGGTGTGGGGTATCTCACTTCTTGCCCGGCAATAAATGGGGGAGAGCCTCCTGCCCTAAATAAAGGGTCCCTCTCACCCCTGCCGGGGATCTCGCTGGGGCCTCCAAATGTTATGGGTTCACTCAGCGAGATAGACCACCGACTCAGAATTTAAATTTAGGAGCCTTTATTAAGCTGACCAGCTGACTACAGCGCGTCCCTCCCCCTCTGGGAGCCTCGCAGCTTATAGTGCAGACCAAGGGTCCCGCAAGGCTTTTATTTGGGAGAACTACAAAGCATTAACTGGCAGGGTAAAAGTTCAGTAGGAAAACAGGGTCACACCTGACTGGAGCATATCATAACACTTTGTTTCTTAAGACAATTAGTAATCTTTCCATGTCATGGTCCCTCCCCCTAGCACATTCAGTATTCTTTCCATGACGCAGTCCCTCCCCCTAGCACATTATCACTATGAGATTTGGGGAATGGCCTCTCATAGTCCCAGATTGCAATATATGTGACTCTTTAATTCAACTTCTTGAGGCGTACTTCTGTGATTCACGGAAGGTGAATGTACATGGGGGTACATTACAACACAGCACCCATGGGGATCTAGGACTTCTACTTCTTTCTAAGGTTCCTGTTAGGTTAGGTGGCCCAGGAGGCAGCACAGGAAATAAAGAGAGTCCAGTGAATCAGAAAAAGAAGAGGAAAAGGTTTACTTCTGTGTCCCCGGGAGACCCACGTACCCCCAAAGACAGGGCACATGGATTCACGCCAAGGGAGGGGGGGAGAGGGTGTGTGTTTTTATACTGTGGTTGGATGAGGGGCGGGGGACATGAGCTGAGGTATTCAGCTGAGGAAGGCCCAGTTGGTGACATGAGGCCTTTGGACCTTCATGGAGCTGGAAGGAACTGCTGGCCCAGGGCTGACAGCTGAAGTACGGTAGCCATCATCTCAGGTAGAAACTATAGTTTCACTTTAACCCTGCTGTTTGGCTTCTGTACTGATTTGCTGTGTTTAACAATAGAAAAGTTATTTTGATTTTCTGAATTATATAAATCACCCCGTTCGATTGAATACCCTATTGATTGTACTGTGACTATCCCATTGGTTGTGGTCTTACTGGCCTTAGAAAGCACATTTTCCTTACCTGGGAAGAACAGCACAGTTATCCCGAGGTCAGAGGGCTCTAGTTAACTTGTTTCTGTCAATTCAGTAATCCGGAGACCCAAAACTATAATTTAGATAACATGCTGCTTCTGCTTCTGTAAACTGCTTTTTGCAAATCAGGTTCCTCATTCCAAACCCTGGAATGTAATCAATAGCTTTGTGATCTTTGCCTATATAAGTCTGGTGTTGCGGCCATCTTATCACTATGAGATTTGGGGAATGACCCCTCATAGTCCCGGATTGCAATAAATGTGACTCTTTAATAGGACTTCTTGAGGCGTCCTTCTGTGATTCACGAGGTACAGTACAACATAGCACCCACTGGGATCTAGGACTTCTACTTCTTTCTAAGGTTCCAAAGAGTGGAAAGGTGTTTGGTGTGTGTGTTTTGTGAGTGTGTGTGTGTGTGTGTGTTTTGTTTTTTGTTGTGTTTTGTTTTGGGGGGGGGTTTCTGTTTTTGTTTTTGTGTTAATCCTTGCCCAAGGATATTTTTTCCATT